TTTCCAAACATAGTACTGGGCTTAAATTCATAAAGTCTAGGTATCATAGAGAAAAATTCATCAGAACAATTACCATGAAAGTATTTATAGAAAAGGCAAAGCAAAGCTACATTATGGTGGTTGGAAAGTGACTGAAGCTGAGATGCCAAGTCAGGACCAATAACAATGATAGTTGTTCTTTGAATTTTATCAAGAATCTTTTAATATATAGCAGGAGCCCCAGACTAGCTGTGGTAGCAATATTCAAAATATGAGTGAGTGGTAGACTTATAAATATGTTAGATTCTGGAGAGAAATATTGTCTTGCAAAACACAATGAAACAACATTCCTAGTGGCAGACCTAGCAATTGATTCAACATATTCAATCATTTGTAGCTGAATAAATTAAACATTTTTTGCATTTCAATTTTAGAATCAGTAAACAAAAATCTGTCAGTTTTGGTCAAATTCTATGACAGTTATTACAATTGAATGAAATGTTATCATTTTTAAAATGAACTTAAAACTAAATGCCTCACATGCTGTAATACTATGCTGTGAATGGGCTCATTATTCTGGGTACCAAATGTAATGCTAACAAGTTGTCTTTCTGTGGTAACCTCAGAGTCAAGAACTTTTGGACTTAGTATCACTTGTAACACTACAGCCAGGGGAGATCTGTTAGACACTTGATATCCTGATTACTTGTTCAGCAATGTCCTGGACAGAAGACTCCTCTACCAATGTTTGTGTTTAGATAAACTTAGGAGATGTTCAAAACTCATGGCTGAAATGCCACAAAAATAGAATTGATAGATTCCCCAAATTGATTGAATCTCTGAATAATGATGAAAATTATATATTTTAACAAAATGTAGTTTATTTGAGTTGTTGGTTAGGTATTACAAACTAGTGTCTTCCTTTCTCTTAATCTAATGTTTGACAGTGGTATGTAGTAGTCTGAACTTTATATTGCTTGTTCACAATGATAAAAGTTGCATATATCTGTTTGCTCATTTTTCCACTTTTTAAAGCTGAGTGATAAACTGGAAGCCTGTCCTTATGGCTTCTCTTCTGGCAGTCAACAGTAATTTTTCCTGATTATCAGTAAAATCTACGAAATTGTCCATATTGACAAATCTGTTAAGACAATATAATCCTTTTTATTAAAAAAAAACATATTTCAAAAAAATATACTTTTCTAGATCTTTAAAAAAATAGCTGATTTAAAGTTTAATTAATCTGAATTAAAACAAATATTACTTACTTTTAGTTTAAAATATCACAGAAAAGCATTTTTTTTAACACAGAAGTGGGTGTTATGAGATGTTGAGTGATGTATTGACAGCCTATTTAGGAAATTTATCTAAGGAGGACATAAATATATATAAATATTTAACATTCTAATAGTTTATTGAATTTTAGGTACTTTGGCTTACTTATGAAGACACTAGTTGAGGAAATGTTAGAAAATTACCAATAAATTTTAAATTTGCTTCAATTCTTGCTCTTATTTTATGATAATGTAATGTATGAACGTCTGTATTTACAAAAATCAACACTAAAAAATATACACAAATTAAATTCAAAATTTTTGTTAAAATATTGGTGGGTCATTGAATTGTAGTAATTCGATTTATGATTAGTAAATAGTTTTAATTTAATATGATTTGACCAATAAAAATTAATCCAGGATTTTAAAAGATTTAAAAGTTTATAAATTATTCTAATTAAAATTTAAAAAGAAAAAACAATTCTTGTAAAAATTCATTATTCATTGAGAAACTTTTTTTACTTAAGACAATAGTGTTCATAATTGCTTTTATTCATAAAAGCAATTAAAAGCTTTTCTAACTACATAACGTCATAGTTTTATTGCATTTTTTATTTAATGATTCAGATCCTGTTTGATCAAAAAGAGTTGATTTAAATTCTCCAAGGACCTGTCCTTATAATTAATATAAGCACTAAGCAATGCAAAAAGTATTTCTTGAAATTTCATAAAATTAAATGAGCGGGGTGTAACATGTTAAAAAAAATTTTTGTTAACCAACATTTTCTAAAAAAAATTTAAATTAATTTCTGAATAACTCCTGAAAGTTTCATTAATATTTGACAATTATCAAGATTTTTGCAAGAATATCAAATCTGAGTTTTTCACCACAAAAATATGCTTAAATTTCCCATACAAATTTATGGTCCTGTGTTGATGCCAGAAAACTGAGATTTTTAACTAAAATTTCCATGGTTTTAAATTGGATTGAAAAATAATTTTCACATCAAAAAATCCTTTGATTTTTCCTCTTACCAATAACACAAAAGTTTTAACGATAAAACTTTACAATGTTTTGTGCATTTTTTGTTTATCATGTATCCTCATTTTAGTGGTACTTACATAAGTCTACTATATTCTGAATATTAATACCTTCACTGATAACAAATTTTTATCACAAGTATCCCTTTGGATGGCTGCATGCTGCTAACTTATTTTTTCTGCAATTAAATTTTCTTCAATTTCCAATTTGTAGTCTATTTAACTCTTCCTGCATTGATAAAACATTTTAATATGCTTTGAAAATTTAGAGGACATTCTCATACATACATAATTATCTGCAATTTCCTCAATTTTAGAGAGTTCAATGCATGTTTGGGTTGCTGGGACTGAAGGGAATTGCAGACATTGATAGTAATAATAATTGACTTTTAATTTAATAATAATCAGTGAAAATTTTTCATTAATCTCTAATGGATGAGTCCAATTTGAGTTAATTTTCTAAAATGAATTGCTAATGTCTAATTGGAAAGACAATTTTCTAATTGTTATATATGTACCCACTGTCCCAATATATATATATATATATATATATATATATATATATATATATATATATATGTATGTTTCTATAAATTAAATAAAATCTTTATTTGCTGAATCAAAGTTCTATACTCTATTTCATGGAAAGTGATAAAAATGCACATTCGACTTTGTTTACACTTCATGTTTAATTTGTGAAAAACTACAAAATCGTGAGAATGGATCACTAAAAGCTTTTGGTAATGATGCAGTAGGTGCAAGCATGTATTTGAAATGGTTTGTAAGTGTTAAGAAAAAAAAAAAAAGAAGATATTTGGATCTTCATGACAAAGAACACTTCAGAAGACCTCAAAACTTGAAAACTAATGAATTGTAGGAACTTTTGAAGTAAAATAAACAAAATACATATAAACTTGCAGAAAAATATGCAGTGAATAAGATGAATGTAATGTTTATAAGCTTTAAAAAAAAAAAAAAAAAAAGAGCTAGGAAAATGGATCCCACATGAATTTATGGAAAACAAAAAACACTGATTTCCATTTCTTGTTTGACAGAGAAAAAAAAAAAAAAAAAAAAAACAGAAGCCATTTTTGGACAAAATAGTCACTGTTGATGGAAAATTAATTTATTACAAAAATAAAGAAAATCATGGCTTCATTCAGGACAGTCTTCAACATCTCAATCTTAATGGAATTTACTAGGAAAATATTTCTTTTAGACAAAATATTATTGTAAGCAACTGGCTTGTTTGAATGATACATTAGAACATAAAACAAAATAAGAAGACATAAAACTGAATAAGAAGTCACCTGGTGATATTGCTACATGACACCACCTGTCCTCAAGTTGCAAATGCAACATAACAAATTGTCTTGAGAAGTTCTTCCACATATATTTTCCTGCACTTTTTGATTATCACTTAAAAAAAAAAAAAAAAAAAACAACCTTCAGCTGTCTAGTTAAAACATTCCAAAAGTGGGTAAAAAAAGTTTCCAAAAAGACATTTACATTAAAACAGAAGACAATTACAACTTTGGTGAGGTTGAAAAAGACACAGGATGTGCATTTTGATATTTCTCTACACAAAACTGATAAAATTAAGCCATTCATATTAAAGCATTGCAAAGGTTGTGCTATTTCAAGTGTAAAATGCAATATTAATTTTTTGCTAAATTTCAACAATATTAATACTGCAACTTGATAAGTTGTTTTATTTATAATTTAATTTAATAAATTTAACATGTTTATTGACTTTTTGTTACAAGGATTATTTTTTTCCTTTCAATTTTGTAAAATTTTAGTATTATTAGATTTTTATTGAACTTATTTGCTATTGAATCTTTAAATTTGTGACTTGAAGTTTTTCATTATTGGAAATCAATTATACAATAATTGAAGTCTTTTTTTAATTACAAGTGATTTTTCAGATGCATAACTATTTGAATATTTGTTCTTGAAGAAAGATTTTCTGATTAAAATTCTACCTCAAAGACAATCATGCAATGGAACATTGTATTGTTTTCTTCTCTAGTCATGTTATTTTAATTTTTATTGAAAATGCTGTTATTTCTTTACATGTCATAAAACTTTGAATTTTTTTTTTGCTTTCTGTTTTGACAGGGCTTTCTTGCATCACAACACACCCATCAATGTGTAAATTGTTGTTAGACATTTCCTGGCTTCCAAAATGTTGATATTTATTCTTCATCTTCATTACTCACCTGACCTTGTGACTTATTCCTCCAAAATGAAATTTCAACTGAAAGCACATTTGATATAACTGAAGGGATACAGGCAGAATTACAGCTGCTAAATATACTTGAAGACTTCAGATCTATTATTTTTATAACAATATTCACATAATAAAATTAAATATGGGTAGAAAGATTTTATTTTCTCCCTTCCCAACAACTTGAAAATTACCACAAAGAAATAACTTTAAAGTATTTGTATTTTTATTCCATAAATAATTATTTGCCAATGAAGTGAAAGGACTTTTTTATGATAATAGAGACTGTAAAACAAAACTGAATATTAACCTATAAATCATGATAGAACTCATTTAGTTTCATACTTAGAAAGAGGTTCCCTACATGTGATGAAATGTGTAAATAATAAATTTAAATGAAGAATGCAAAAATGTGAGAGTGTTGTCATTTTGTTAGGATTTGAAAACCGTTAAGGTGTCCTTTTTACAATTACCAGTTACACCTGTGAAGATTCATCTCTTATTGTGACAGTTGCCTGTTGTTGATTGTCCATGGTGGTAGAATTATTGGGTAGAATACGACAATTGATATCATATGCAATACTTGCTTCCTTCAATACCTGCAAAAGAAAATTGATTATCTTATTTAGAAAAATTCATAGAGACAGAACTCTATAGAATGTCTATGTATATTTGATAATTATTTTCACTAATATTTAAGATTGAAATTTTAAACTGTATTACAATGTTTAAAATTGAATATTTTTTATTTAATTTTTCTTTTTTTTTTTTTTTTTTTTTTTACACATTCTTTTAGAGGCATTATATCATTAAAATATTAACTTAAAAATGATACCAAATTCTGCATTTTTTCCTGCAATAATTCTATCACATCTTGTTCTTCTATGTGTCATGTCCCTTCAAGTAATCATGGCTTTCCACAACTACTTGTCCTTTTTAGCTCTTAGTAAGGTTTGCCTTTTTGCTATCTTTCCTAATCTCTGTTTGGACAAACATTTACACAAGCTCATTAGGTAGGTTATACATAGCTTTCTTGTCTGTCTTACCTTCAATATGTCCTATGAGTGTCAAATTCTCCAAACCCTCTTTCCTCCTTATTTACCCTAAAATTTTCAATTGTTTCCTGATTCTAAGCATAAGTGTCTTTTTTATTTCCATTTTCCCAAAAACTTCCTTGTTCTACCCATATTATTCTCAGCATCCTACTGTTGAACCACATTTTTATTGCCTCAAGTTTCTTGTTCATCTGTGAGGAGATTGTCCAGCATTCAGTCATATAGGAAAACCAATACTATATAACAGTTTGGCAATTTTCTCTTTGTTTCTAATGAGATTTTCCTGTTTCTTAATACTTTGCTTAGCTTTTGGAAGGTGTCTTTTTGCTATTCTAATGCACCTTCAGTTTTTGGTGTCCTCTGTTAAAACACTTCCCAGATATTTAAATTTTTGTACTTGCTTGATTTTGGTGTCTTCAATTCATAGTTCACATCTTGGGCTGTTCCTTTTACTGACAACCATACATTCTGCCCAGGCACAATTAATGTTTAGGCTTTACTTCTTTCGCTTTCCTTCATCACCTTCTGTAAGAGTTCCTGTAGTTTCCTTTCTGTACCAACATTGTGTCATTTGCATATCTTATGTTGTTAAGATTGTAGCCACCAATAATGAATCATAGTAGAACATCTAATTCTTTCAGGATCACCTCACTGTAAAGGTTGAATAAATCAGGTGATAAGATGTATCCTTGTCTTTTTCCTTTTTCTATCTTTGCGCATTTACTGAATTCATTTTCTATCCATCTGAAGATGGTTTGCTCCCAGTATCTGTTCTGGATTATTCTCTAACAACATTCCCAAATTAATTAAGTTTACCTACCAGTCGAACAATTCCTTTGCATAAACTATAAAACATAGGTATACATCCTTCTAAATCATAAATATTGCATTCCTTGTTCTAGTTTCTTTAACAAAATCGCATTGTTCTTGTCCTATTTTGAGTCTAATTCTGCTACATGTTTGCCAACAGAATTTAGATGTTAAGTCTCATTACATGACTTGTTAGGCTGATTATCTGATATTCACACTGATATTCACATTTGTTCATACCTTTAGAAGTGACTTGGTACTGTGATGATTTGTTATAAATTTGCATTTCTCTACCTCTTTCCACCAATGTCCATCCCACCCACAAGGTGAGAGAAAATAGATATTTTATTTTTAAATTGAGGTTTCTGGAACCAGACACAAACGTTTTGACTCTTTGAATCTGAGTAATGATTATATTTTTTTCTTCTTTTACTATTAACTTGAAAAAGTCATGGTAAGAGGTTACTTTGAATTAAAAAGATTTAGAATCTTAACTAATACTTATATATACATGAAATCTTTTGTTGGATGATCAATAGCTAAACTAGCTCCCCCACTACAATTTATTGCAAATGATGAAGCAGGTGGTTAACAACCCTTTAGGATGAAAAATAACACTTCTCACAAGGTGGAAGAACTCTTGATGAATCAACATCCAGCTAACTAGAGATGGTGTTTCAAGAAAATCCCTGTGGTGAAGGCAACAGGAAACCACTGCACTTTCAATCACAAGATCATTCATAGCTATCAACAATATTATCTTTCAGATACATCTTTTAAAATGTTTGAAATTTTTTTTATAAAAGAAACCATTCAGAGGGCTGATATTTCTTTGTATTGTGTATGTGTGTGTGTGTGTGTGTGTGTGTGTGTTGTGTAGTTAAAACTAGCTTCAATGAAAAAAAAAATAAATCATACATACAAAACTATCATAATATTTGCATTCTAATCCACAATAAATATGATTACTTCAGTGTGAATGGTAAAAATTCTATGAAAATAATGCTAGACCCATCTAGTAAGTTTTGGTAACACCAGTTACCTCACAGATATAGAAGAGTTTCATATGCCATGTCTTCAGGCAAATGAACTTTAAACTAATCCTCATCTTAATGATCCCTTTTTTTTAGTTGGTCTGTAACTATATTATTATGTTCAAAGTGCATTTGTTACTATTTATATAAAAATCCCTGTTAAATACACCTGAAGAATAAAGCAATTTACATTTTAATTTGTAGAGTGGGGATGTATTTGTGATCAGACAGATCATGTTCCACATATGCTTGCGTATTTGCAACAAAAGGAAAAAAGAAAATCATACTAATTTTGAAAAAGGAAAAGAAATGAAAACCTTACTAAATTGCTGCATAAAATGATGCCAAGGAAAGGATGATGTCTTTATTTATAATTAAGAGAAAAAAATTTATTATGTATATTTTTCATAAAGAAATGTTATTTCAAGATAAACATATCATTATTTTATGTAAAAATGATTACTCTTTTTATTTCTTTTCTTCTTCCATCATGAACATTTTCACACTTTATAAAGATATGTTTTTAAAACTGAAACCATGTTTGTTAAAAAAATATTCAACACTATGACCTTGCTGAAAAGAGATTAATAAAAGTACGAGTAAAACTAACTTTAACCGTTACAACTCTGCAGGCAATATCGGCGATATTCTTTCTCAATATTCTCCAGGTGGATATGTTTACAAAGTGTCAGAGCTTCATTTCATAGGGAAAGTACATTTCAAAAAAATAACCTATTACTACAGAAATGTTGTCATTCAGCTTGTGATATGAACTTGAGAATGACCGGATGTCAGTCATTTTGTTGTAATTGAAAGTTATTTTATCAGCGAATTTCAATAAATTGTTTTAAAAACATTCATTTTTCAATCAAAATGGCAACTCCCCAGTGCAAGGTGTGGATCTGTTACATCAATAGAGGAACTTTTCATGGACAGTGAGAGCAATGAAGAAGAATTTCTCAAATTTAGCCATGAAGATATTGGTTATGTGTGTGACAGTGAGACTGAAAGTGATTCCAACCAAGAAGGAGGAATTTTTGAACCATCACAAGCATACAATCACCCATGGGTACCAGAGTTTTCCTATACTCCTGGACCTACAAATGTTGATCAAGAAGCTAGTGAGGTACACGTTTTTTGTCTTTTTTTTATCTGATGAAGTTATTCAACTAATGACATTGGAAAAACTAACTGATATGCAAACAATGTGAAAACAAAATTAGGTGACACAGCAAGGCACAACTTGAAAATCAGAAAAACGTTTGCTTTGAAGAAATGAAAGTATTTTTGACCTTGCTTTTTTTTTGTTTATAGGTTTGATAAAGTGACCTTCATCTTTGTCTTACTGGACAACAGATCCCCTTTTATATATGCAAGGCTTTTGCAATGTGATGAGTAGTAATCGTTTTTCATCAATTTTGTCATACAGATTTACATGGTTTTTTATTGTTTTCTCAAAATTTATTATATGTACAGTAAAAAAAAAATGTCTACATTTTTCTACATCCTTTCATGGAAATGTCCTGAAAATTGTATAACAATATCTCTAAAACCCTAAAGTTACAGTGCTAGTAATATGTCCACCATTCAAAAACTTAGCGCACCTAAAATTAATGCGGATCCTTTTAGTGCAGAGTTGTAAAAGTTAAAGTTTAAATATACTTGGAGTTTTGCTAATTACAGAGTAATGCCTCTTATTTTGCAAATAATTATAATATAAATTTAATAAATGACAAAGATTAATACTTTTTAAGTGCCAATAGTATAAAAAAATATTGTTAATGAAAAAAAAACTTACTCTTAGATGGTCTTCAACATCAGCAAGAGACTGATCAGCCCAGTCCAATGTTCCAGCCAAACGGTAAGCATTCTTCACAACATATACAAGATGATTGACTGATAGAACTAAAGCAGTGCACCTTGAAATGAAGTTGCAAAAAAAGTTAACTACAAACCTCTTTAATAAACATTTATTTCTAAAGACATAGCTAATACCAGTTTTACAATAAATATATATTCAAGTTTCACAATTGTTCAAACCTAAAATTAAATCTTTCTAAAATCATTTTTGAAAACAGTAAAAAAGAGCTTATGACATTTGTACACATCAGTGTTTTTGCTATATGAGGAATTTAATATAATTTTGAATCCAAAATTTAATGAGTACAGAAATAAGAAATTTTCACACAGAAAAAGCATTAATCTTAACCTTTAATGTACTTCAGCATATTTCCAGCATAAAAGATTTCCATGTGAATAATTATACTTGATCAATGCAATAAATTGAAAAATATTTGAACAACTTTGGTAAATTCTATAAATGTAGTAACAACTTAAAAACCATGGAAATTCTTGGCAATTATTGTTATAAGCAAATTTTAAAAACTTTTACATTCTATCATAGTTGAAAGACACAACTAAACTCAAAATCATGTGTCTTCCCGTTAATTAATCTTCCAATTTTTATTAATTAGTATTTAAACACTGTTGTAGAAAGTCAGTTCAGTCACTTGGAATATTTGGGGTCCTTGCTGCTATTTCTATTCTTTATTATTTTCAATACTTAAAAGGAAATGTAAACAGAACTAACCTGGCTTCCAAGAGACGTGGATCCAAGGGTGGATACATTGATCGTACAACTTCATCCACCCGTGGAGTAATCCGTTTTGCCATTGCAATGAGGTCAGTCATTGATTCTTGCATATGAATTTGCTGAGAACTGCCCATTGCCATAGCAACAAGCTTATTGGTCAGTTCATGGCAGATTTTTAAGATGGCAAGACAATGAGGAACCAAACCACTGAAAGAATATAGAAGAAAAAAAAAATTATTTTACTGATTTTCTTGGTTAGCACATACTTTTAAAACAGTCTCTCATATGAAATTTTAAACATAGTAACAATAATGAAATAAAATAGCACTTGTATTGCAATACCAAAATTATAACCATGTTTAGGTAATCGTCTCCATATCAATCTTGTTTTCACCCATATCTACAGTATTTAAAATAAAACAACAGTTCAACTTATGTATCATTTATCCCTTTATTTTTACACAACATTGTGAAAAATTTTATACAAGTTCAATATTTCAAAATATTTCAGAATTCCCTTAAAAAGTCTTTTTTAACTAAAATGTCAGTTTCTATTGTCTTTATAAATGTAATAAGCAAAATTTAATTTTAAAAGATTGCCGAAATTGAATAACTTACGTAGCATCCTCAATATAATTTTCATCTTGTAGAATTTCTTCAAGCTTTGGGCTTGTGAATTCAATATCATCCATCTCTACAGTATTTGGGTCAGGTGCAGGAGGAACAGTTTCCATGGAATGTATCAACTGTGTATCAGGACTGGGGAAAAATACAGACAGAAAAATAAACTTTTCAGATATTTTTACCTTAAATACAACTAATCAGACAATCTCAAGATCTCAGATTTTATTGAAATTTTTACACTGAAAGACACAATCATTAAGCATATACCAAAACGTGTTTAATTCAAACAAGTGAACCAAATATGAACATGTTTTGCAAAATAAGATTCCTTTATTAATTCTTTTAATAGGATACAAAATAAAAATAATTATCCCTCAAGAATAAAATCTTATGAAAAGTGCAGTGAGCATAGAAAGGATATTTGACCAAAAACTTCAATGATAATAATAACTTATTTATGATCTTTCAAATCCTGTTAAATTTAAGAACAAACACAAGTCAAAGGCATTGATTAATAAAACAGATGTATATCTCATGTGTCCTTAACAATATAACTTTTCATGGCAAGTAAAATGATATAGAAAGAAATATCACTGTTCTTCCCATTATTTTCTAATGCATTTAAAAGAAGATGATAAACAATCAAAAAGCAATTATTAAACCAACCTGTTATCTTTATGTTGCATTGTGATTAGATCCATCTGTCGACAATAACAGTTACGGCAAACCAAAACTAAGGCTACAACAGAGGCAACAGTAATAGCTGCAAGAATTCCTATGGCTAAAGCAACTACTGTATCCATGCTTTCCATAACCAACAGTGTTACATTGGAGGAAAGATAACAGGTTTATTATCTGAAATTGGAATTAAAAAATAAAATTAAAATTAAACTAAAAAAAAATACAATAGGAGAAACAAGATGTGTGTCTTATGCCTGAAAAGTTAATATTTTTATTTTCTGGAAAAAGTTTAAGGATCCCAAATTAAGTTTCAAGTTACTCACTTCCATTAAGATATTGGTTTTAAAGGGTTAGATTGATACTGTCCATGATTAATCTACTTCTAGAATAAATTTTACAGGAGAAAATGTAGTGTTTGTGAAACAATATATACACTTTAAACAAGAGAACACTTATAAACTGCAGATTCATTTTAATTCTAAATTAACCTCTGATAACAGCCAATACCTTTGAGGTCAGTATCAACTATCATTTTTCTTGTCAAGTTATCCTATCCCCACATAACAATTTGTTTCCAAAAATATAATTGCTTAGCTGTAATATAGATCATAATTGCCAATAATTAATTATATCTTCAATGACCTCTGATACTGTATTTTATCTTATTCACCTTACTATTTGTGAGGCCAAACATTTTTGGCATGGTATGTTCTCTGAGAATGAACTTCATGGTCAACTAGATTTATCCTATGTTATTACTTGTGAATTTTCAGTTATCCATGTAAAAAGACAAGATCTCTGGGAATTTGGTAGATCAGTAGATATCTGTTCATTTTAACATAAAAGTTAATACAATATCCATTTAAGCTAGTATTAAGCCACATGACAATTTACTACTGCTAACTATAAATTGTGTATATCCTGCTATTGCCACTACCCAGAGTTATTGACACAGAATGCCAAATAAACAGATTTAGCAGTCTTCTAGAAAGCCAGACTTGTTTTTTGACTGGATGGTCTAAATCAAATAGAAATGGGTTACTTGTAAGCATGTGCAGGTGTTTCTACATTTACTAATTGCATAATGAACAAAAAAAGAAAAGAAAAGAAAAAAACAGACACTATAGTAAATAGGAGCATATAATAAATGTAAACAATATCTTCTTTGTCAGTCAGATTTTGGTTACGGATAATTCCCAAGTGTTTAAATATGATGATATTAATTGCATCAATTTTTTATTCTTGATTCCCAGTCTCTATATGAACAGATTGTAGAAGACAACATTGACTAAATTAAAATTGAGGAATACTTTAATAAAAATATATATATTTTTATTTTTATATTAATATACTAAATTTATGGTCATTTATTCTTTTACACATCATGTAAATAGACATGCATATAGGGGGGGGGTCTGAAAAGTCATTGGTTTAACCCAGCTCCCAAAATCTAACCAAATAACCACACATCAGATTTTTTTTAATTCTTTCTTAGTTAGGCTAAGAATTTTCAATTTGCCTTCATAAGAATGGTATGGAAAAAGATTTTAGTAATTATGTGAAAATTTCAATATTGAACTTGCCATTCTTATAATGACTTGTAGATATGCAAAAACTTACTTCTGAAAGTGACTATTTTGTGTTCAAATATGTTTATGATTTACAAAATACATACAATTATCTATGCTGTATTTTGAAAGACTAATGCTATAATTTCTATGTTGAGGTTATCTAAGATTATTTAAATCACTAACATATGCAAGTGGTTTGAATTTTTGCAGCCTGGAAAACAAAGGTTCAGGCAGTATTAACAGATGTGTGATAGCATTAAGACTTCTGACAATCCCATTTAACAGATAATGTCAAAACACCAGCAAAAAGTTGAAATCTGCACCCACTGACACCGAATTACTTGAAATTTGGCACAAATGTCCTCCCCCACCATGAGTTAGGAAAGTGTGCCAAATTATTTTGTGCTAGACTTTACCGTTCCAATTTTAAGTGGGGAGGATTATAATTTTCCTATTTTGCCTCTAAATTAAGAGTGCGCAACATCGTCAAAACTCAGTGTTTTTTAAAAAATTAAAGAAAAATACTTCCTTACCTTCAATATTTCTGAAATTTGCTATGTAGAGCAAATAAGAAGTGTAGAATCCAAATATTTAACTATTTTAAGTCTACACTTGATAGAAAATTTTATTTTACTCACCCAAATACATGACCCCAAAATCAACAACTTTTCACCTATGTAGCTTATGGTCAGTCTATCGAAAATATGTCCTCTTCAATTTTCGTAATATTTTTTGCCTAACATCTATAATGCCTGCTCAAGTTCACCAAAAAATTTTGTAAGGGTTTTAAGCCTACTTTAGAAGACATGATCCTGTGAAGTTTAGAGTTTTTTCCTATGTATGTGCAGGATTTCCGAGAAAGGTTATAATTAAAGACAATCATCCTAATGCTCCATGGCCTCTAAAATGTTGATATTGTTCTAACTTCTTGAACTATTCAATAAGATTGTTTTTATTAATAAAAAAAAAAATAATTTAAATATATTTTGCAGGTGTTACTTTTTATATAGATAGATTGTCTTTAAAAAGTGGTAAACATTGCCTCATGTATGATAATCAACAGTGCATAGAAAATTTGTAAATGGCACTTAACAAATGAAGTTAAAAAAAATTTTTTCTGTTTATGTTTCTTTTAATTTTATTTTGGTAAGTTATTTTCATGAAACAAAACATTTGATTTTTTTTCATTCTCAAAAAAGTCATACGATAAATATGAATCTTTAAAACATAATATTTGAAGTTGGCACTAAACATATTCATATAGTTGAAGGAAATGCTTTCATTACTTTTTTTAAATTTTCATTTTTATTTTTTAAATCATTTTTCAAAATTATTTTCATGAAATATAGATACTTGATTTTGTTTTAATCAGAATAAATAAATAATAAAAATGAATATAAAAGAGTCTTTAAAAGATTACATTTAAACTACACTATGCACTGTCTGGTCCTGAAACATCTGTCACTTACCATCCAGTACCCAAGGAGAAATGTGGTATCTTTCTAATTACTTAGAGTTTTTACTTGCACACTGGATTTAAAGTACAGTAGTTTCTTTTTTAAGTTAAAGATGAATAGTTCTATTTATACTGAGCTAACAGTTGAAACATGTCAGGGTTTATTCAACGATAAACAGGTTGGATTGATTTCAGTAGATCAGTTGGATGCAATGGATGTAAAGCTTACTGCCTATAGAACTGGACTTGACAAGGATAAAATACAGACTATCTCTTACCATCACAAGCAAACTTTGTTGACTAACTATGAATGGCTTGAAAAGAGATGTTGTAATCCATCTAAAAATCATAAAAAGCAAGTCAAAGGTGGTTTGAAACCAATTTCATTGGAGATGGCAGACAAGGCAAAGGCTAAGTTGGTATTAATCTCAGGCAAGAAACTCTGCCCTATTTGTCGAATACAAATCCACAAACTACTTCGCAATGATGAAGAACCAAGACATGTATCGGATGAGGAAATACAAGAACTTAAAGCAGATACTTCTGCAAAATCAGAAAAGAGTAGTAATAATGAAGAACCAAGACGTGTATCAGATGAGGAAATGAAAGAGCTTGATACAAGTACTTCTGCAGAAACAGAGAAGAGAAATATCAATGAATGTTTCTCTGCTATTGGAATTTCTCCACTGAAAACAAAAGGGCTTCATTATTCAGGAAAAGCTACTTTAGGTAAGAGAAAATTTTTTTTTCTGCAATGCAACGTAAAGTAGCCAAGGTTGACTATGAGCTATGAATGATGAGGCTTTAAAAATCAAAAAGGAGATTTTAGATAAAGCTAAGTGCTTTGATAAAATGATAGAGCTTCTTGTAGCAATAGTGAAGACAGTGGAATCAACTAAAATCAAAATACAGATCTTGACACTTGCCCCTACTGACTGGTCGCACAAAAAAAAGTCATGGATGTGTTTGGTGTTTCAGAACACATTGTATGCAAGGCTTACAAATTGTGTTTGGAAAGAGCTATTTTAGCTGTGCCAGAATCAAAAAGAGGCAAGTCTTTGCCTGCTGATATTGCACAGTTAGTGGAAGCATTTTACCAAGATGATGAATATACTCGACTGATGCCAGGCAGGAAAGACTACATTAGTATTAAATGTAATATTCATCAGCAGAAAAGACTCATCTTGTACAACCTAAATGAGCTCTTCAGAGCATTCAAGGAACAGAACCCAACAGTACCTTTAGAATTTTCAAAATTTTGTAGTCTAAGGCCAAAATGGTGTGTCCTTGCTGGTAGTGCAGGTACACATGTTGTATGTGTATGCACTATCCACCAAAATATGAAATTATTACTGGAACTAAATGTATCATATAAAGGAAATATATTGCCTGTAATACCAGTAGCAGAGCGTGTATTATTTATAGGTGCCCAAATTGTCCTAAATTATCAGGGCAGCTTGCACCATGGAAGGATATATTGATAATGTTGAATGGAATTTCTTTGCAACAAGTCATGGTAAACAACCGTGTGATGGCATAAGTGGGTCAGTGAAAAGTATAGTGTCAAAAGAAAGTCTCCAAAGACCAACTACCAAACAAATCCTTTCCACAGAATCTGTTTGAATATTGTAAATCTGCAATTGAAGACATTAAATTCATTCTGGTTGAAAAGGAAGAAGTTGAGGAAGTGAGGAGGAGTCTCACCATGAGATTCGAAAATGCATCCACAGTTCCAGGAACAAGAAATCTTCATCAATTTATTCCACTCGCCAGAGATAAAATAGCTATGAAACAATGTAGCAAAGATGAAAACTATGACCTAATATATGACTTTTTATTGGGGCTGAAGAAAAAACAGTAATTTTTTTTATTTCAGGATATGTTTGTTGTAAGTGTGACAATAAAATTTGGATTGGAATGGTCCTGGAAATTGATATGTAGAATAAGGACTTGCTGATTAAGTTCTCGGAAATCCTGCACATTCATAGTAAAAAACTCTTGGCAGGATCATATCTTCTAAAGTAGACTTAAAACCCTTACAAAATCTTTTGGTGAATTTGAGCAGACATTGTAGATGTTAGGCAAAGAATATTTTGAAGAGGACGTATTTTCGATAGACTGACCGTAAGCTACATAGGTGAAAAGTT